GCCCAGGTAAAAGTCCTGTAAAACAGTGCGCACACTCCACTGTGTCCATTTGATGGAGTGGGCTGGGGTGGTGCATGGGGGAGGGGGTTGGGTCAGTTTGGGGGGGGGAGGGGGGGGTGCGTCAGTTTGGGGGGGGGGCGTGTGTTTGTGTGTGCGTGGGGGGGGGGGGGAGAGGGCATGTGTTTGTGTGGGGGGGGGGGGGGGAGGTGTGCGTGTACGAATGTGTGTTCTACTCACAGTGTTGTTATGTTTGACGTTGGTTGTGTTTTGCAGCAAAAGCCCCGGAATAATGATTGTGACCTGTTCTCTTTTGTGTGTGCGGGTGTGCGTGCATCTGTGTTTGTATTTGTGTGGCAATGTATGCCTGGGTGCTTGCTGTGTTGTGCGTGTGTGTGTGTCCGTGTTCGTGCGTGGCTATATGCGTGGTATGCGTTCTATGCTGTGTTTTAGATCGGGTGTGACGTTGGAGTCTTCAGTGCCTGGGCATCTGTTGCAGATGTCCATTGAAATAGCCAGAGGCATGTCCTACCTTGCCAAGCGCCAGTTCATACACAGAGTAAGTACCTACAGCCAGTCATGATGTTAGGACAGTATCAATGATGTGTAACAGGGAGTTATGACTGTATCACTGATGTAATACTCTAAGTCTACAAATATTCGGCCCATTCACATGTCGGCTCCCCAGGGCTAGAATCCTTGTCGGCCGCGTCAAAGTTTCGGCCTGTACTGCTGCCTGTATACCATGGTATACACTGTCACACTGAACCTTGCAAAACAAATTTTCGGCCAAACATGACCAGGCCGAAAATAGTCGAAAATAAATATGCGCAGAATATTTGTTGACTTACGGTACTGAGTTATGACAGTATCACCGATGAAGCAGTCATGACAGTAGCACTGATGTACTGGTCAGTAATGACCTTGTCACTGGTTTGATGGTTCAAGCATGTACAGTGGTGTTCTACTACACTCTCTGTACATTCCTGGATGCAGGTTTAACGAATATACATAGCTTCAAGAACTTTCAATTACTTGAAAGTATTCGCAAGACGTACAACACTAAACCATGAATCATGTTGGTGATATGAGTGCGCATTTGATCTTAATCACTACAGTCAACTTCACTGTTAACAACTTATTACGACAATTCGCGGATAACGACGGAATTTCCGTGCCCAGAGCAAAGTCCCATCTAACTGTAATACATACAATGAGCCTTCGGGTATAAGGACACTCCACGAATAAGGCCACTTTTCTGATTCCCCGCCGAGTGTCGTTATGTGCAAAGTTTACTGTAATTCCTGTATTTGCGGGACAAATGTTCATGCACCAATGTGCTGTAGATTGAACATGCTTCCCCGGATCAAGCGGAATCCTGTCATATCAGGAGAGTTTCCGCTGCAGCAAGGGCGTCCGGTTATAGCAGTTTTAGTGTACTTATTTCTTACACACGGAGTTCATGTTCTGGATGTGTCTCCATTGTGTCTGCTGCAGGATTTAGCTGCTCGTAACATTCTCCTGGACAGTTCACATGTGTGCAAGGTTAGTGCTACAAAGGGAACATTTGTCAGAAGATTTGAAAATGTGTTCATAGCAGTAACTATGACTGACATGGTATTTGTTTTCGATGTGTTGCCAATATCGCCCCCCCCCCCCACCCTTTCCTTGTCACAGGTCTGAGTAACTGAGCAAAGTGATCTCTGCCTGCTTTCCCCTCCTCAATCATCTCTATGTGGTATGTCCTATGCGGCCTGGTGTATATCACTCAGTTTTGGATGTATCCATACTTTTATTGTCTGTTGTTTATTGTCTGTTGTTTGGTGTGTGTGTGTGTGTGTGTGTGTCCCATATGGTGCAGTGGTATGTGCAGTCGATTTCCAATCGAGAGGTTGCGGGTTCAATTCCCGACGATTGTGGTCGCACACGTCTTTCTTCTCTTTCTCATTCTCCTACTTGTAGCTCTTCTTTCATTCTCCTGGGTGGTTACCAACAGCCAGTGTATGCCGGAGTATGTGGTGTGGCGTGTGTGTGTAAAAAAATGAATGAAAAATGGAAAAATGAAAAAAATGAAAAATAGGGATTCACTGGCCAGAAAAAGCCACTTCAATCAGCTGTGTGGTGGATACCAGGCTAAAATTAGTGGCGGTCAATTCATCAGCCTTGCAAGCTGTTGAATGGTGTAATCCCAGCACAAGTTGCTATGTCTAACATAGCTGTTCGCTATCATCGCTTCCGCGATGGGCAGGTCTGAGGTGAGGTGTGTGTGTGTGTGTGTGTCCATGTGTGTGTGTGTGTGTGTGTGTGTGTGTGTGTGTGTGTGTGTGTGTGTGTGTGTGTGTGTCTGTCTGTCTGTCTGCCTACCTTTCTTGCCTCCCTCCCTGTGTCCATCTATCTCATTCTGTCTGTCTCTGTCTCTCTGTCTATCTTCATTTATTGTGCTTCCAGATTGGTGATTTTGGAATGTCACGCAATCTAGCAGATGATACCTACTATGAATCACATGGTGGCAAGGTGCCGTACAAGTGGACTGCACCTGAGGTAAATGCATACAAATCAGCCAGTCATAGGTTACCACCAATAACGAGGCTACGAGTACCATTATTATTAGTATTACATTACACAGGACCTGGGTGGAACACAGAACGGGTCACACCAGGAAAGATCCAAATTTTGCATAAAAACCAAAGCAGAGGGAAGTGCGATAATTGAGCCAAAATTGTCTGCAGGGCAAATTATATGATTGGCTGAGATTCGTTGGTCCCACTTACTCTATCCTACTGGATTAGTGCTATTGTGGTGAGACTCCTCATCACAGTACAGTTGTGTTGTATGGGGATCGCCCAGCTCAGGGATCTTCCAGTTACAGCCAGAGAGCCTGTTGTCCCCTGTGTCTGTGTGTACTGCTCTGCTACTTGGTGAGCATCTTTTCGAGCTGCCCAGGCGGCTGGCCCTGCTTATGAAGGTGCGGCAGTGCTCAGTGAAATGTTGGCAATATAGTGCTGTTAGCTCCCGGCTAAACGCAGTCCCCTCACAGTTCCAGAACACAGGGGTTTTATAGTATTGATTATGGAAGAAGTATTTAGACGAGAGTAGACAAGAACTAAGACTAGAACTAGAGGACCACTGGAGCATGCACTCTTCTATACTTGATTGGCTCTCATTGCTATGGTGAAGGAGCGGGAAATACGAATAGTGAGTATTGTATGGTCATAGTATAAATACATCTATTACAACTACTTCGAAGTACTCAATCTGCAGATAGAACTGTTTCGTCCTTTGTGGACTCATCAGCGCAGCACAGAGAAAGTGAAGCCGAACCTGATAGCAGTGAAACATAAATTTTCCGAAGCCAGATTTAAACCAGGCCCGAACGTGTTGGGAATGCAGTACATCTATTACAGTGCCCTCACTGGCATGTGTTATGTGAAATCCAAATTCATGGCTTAAGCATAGGCATGTTCACTGCACATCCCAACATTGGTAGCGTCAGGCCTCTGCAGTGTCCCCGGAGCTGTTGAATTTGTGATATTGGATTTCACTTCCCAGTACTAAAGCCCATCATGCCGGCAGGGGTTGGATTGTAGTGCAGTGCTGCTCAACAAAATCCAATCATACTTGAAGTATGAGTGAATGCCACGCCGAGCAGCGCTGTGCAGCCCCAGACCCTGTCAACACTGGGCTGTGAAGTGGTGTAAGGTGCAAACTTGAAGCACTCCTTCAAATTTATTCAGCAGCACTGAGCAGAATTGTAGCAAAAAAAGATTAAAGTTTGCACATTCGTGTTACCACTATACAATTGTGTTGAGAAACACAACCAGCTTAGGAATTTGACTTGTGCCAGGCCATCACCATGCCTGATCACTGTACTACCGTATTTCCCCGATTATAAGTCGCACTCGATTATAAGGCGCTCCTCCATTTTCAGGTTTGAGCGATCATGTTTTGAAATATTCACTGCCGTAGTAAGTCTTGTTCGATTGTAAGTCGCACCCCCTTTTTTACCTTTGGCCTTTAGTCTAAAAAGGTGGGACTTATATTCAGGGAAATACAGTAGATATGTTGACAAATAAAAAAAAGGTTATACCTGATCGTAACGTTAAAATGGTACCAGACTCTCTGAGACATTAAAGATGTACAGGTTCCTGCACGAGTACGAGGCCAGTACCGCGGAATCCAGCCCGCGCCGCGATAGCGGCAAGGGCTGGATGAACAGCGGTACTGGCCGAGTATGAGTGACTGGAACGTGTTTCCCGTGTGCAAGTTCGTGAGCCAATGAGCGCAGTGGATTCCGTTCCTGCCCGTCGTCAAGTGACGACGTGCAGTGGAATCCGTTCCTGCCCGTCGTCACTTGGTGACAGGCAGTGGATCCAGTTCCATCACCTTTCAGCAGGCAGGACCACACTTTCCAG